TATATATATATATATATATATATATATAAAAATTATAAAATATAAAAATGTTCAGGAAAAGGCCCGCCCCATCCCGGGAGCACCTGAACGCACAATTCACCCCCACCCCACTCCGTTTGAGTCTCGCTCCTATGTTTATCCTGTAATTAGGCTTAGCATTAGTACTTTACGCTTATGTTATAATTAGGCTTAGCATGAATACCTTACGCTATAATTAGGCTTAACACGAGTACTTTACGTGCTTACTATTACAGCAAGTGACTCACATCAGTTTACAATAGACTTCATGTTTGGTGTAGATATGATACAAGAAGATACACTAATACTGTTCTTCTCATGTGTAATTAAATGTGTGAACTAGATATTTTTCTATCCTAATTTTTTTCTTTGAAATTAAATTAACTTACTATTCAAAAATGATTTTCCTCTATATCTGATTCATCGAACAATTTGTTATTATTTGACTAAACAAAACTAGTAAACTTCCGACATATTAAGTACCTAAATGTCCAGTTTACATGATCCTGCCATATCTTGGAAAATATTTTAGTCGTTAAAAGCGCATCTACGCCATCTACTTCGCATGAACAATTGCGATGCATTTTTAAACCAGGATGTCGTCAACAGTATTTATGCTTGCTGCGTTACTACTCGTGTTTAGAAATAGAAGCATGTTTTAGTGTAAACCCGAAGTATGATCGTTCACTTTTAAAAAGTAATTAATCAAACTGATTTTAATATTTAGATTATATCATATCTTTTGTTAAAAGCACATAGAAATGAACACGAGAGGAGAATGGTTAAACTTAAACCTAAACAACTCAATTTAAATATCTTGATGATAGTATTGGTGCGTCATCGAGGTCACGTGACTGGTGTGGCGCCACCTATTTTCTAGAACTATCCTGTACCTTGGCGAATGCTCTAGATATAGATATAGGGTAGACTGGTATATAAAAGAGGGTGACAACGTGACAGGATAATGTAATGTGTGTGTAGACAGTGAGTAATTGAACTGCAGTCAGAAGTATTATTGACGTTCGTTGATATAGCGTTTGTTTTAGCGCGATTGTTGAAAATAAGTGTATCGTAAAGTTGTAGAAAGAATAAACCAGTTTTATTAAGTAAGGACTTGTGTCGCTAAAGTTTCGTCGGAACGAAGTTACGGAAAGTTAATTAACAAACGGAGACGTAACAGTATTCATTATTTCTAAATGAATACAAACTCCAACGAAATCAGCCTAGAAAATTACTTGAAAATGCACTACATGTGATTACAAAATAAAATAATTGATAAAAATAAATCTATAAAGAACATAATTAAAGAAAAGAAATACGAATTTTTACGTACTATGAATGTTAAGAACGTTTTTAGTTTTATTGGATATATATATTAAAATTATCAAAACTTTTACTTTAATATTTTAAACCTTTGTATGTACGAACCATTTCTGTCTATAAAGAGTTCTAATACAGTATTTGTATCAAGCTGATATGAAAGTGTAAAACAGTTATATCTACAATGCAATATTCGATGACGAGGAACCCACTTTGAGACTAATAATGGCTGGAGACGGCTTGAATGGGTAATGAAGAAAAACTTTAATATAAGTTTAACATAACAGCAAATGTACAACGTTTCGACAAGGTTTTGTCATCATCAATATGACATAATATTGTTGTCAGCCTAATACATAAATTTAAAATAGCTCTGTCTACAACACAGTATGATATATTGGTGTTATCAAGCTGATTAATACTAGAAATAAACGACCTTATAACACCAAAATGTTGTTTTTATTTAATTAGACACTTAACGTTTCGCTTTACAGCTTCTTCAGGAGCGTTCACTGAAACATAAACCGAAACTGACAGTACAAAACTTCAAACAAACAAACAGTACAAAGTTTCGAAGTTAAGCACAAAGCTACAAAATGCGTTATATGTGCCCTGCCCACCACGGGTATCGAAACTCGTTTTCTAGCGTTGATTGTTAAAGGGAAAAAAGAGAGAAGATATACCGCTGTGCCACTAGGGGCGCTTTGTATTGCCAGTTTCGGTTTGTGTTTTAGTGAACG